CACTTACCTGGGTGGGGGCTAAAGCTCCCTATTGTTCTAAGCAATGCCAACCTGACTGTGAGGGAGCTAAAGACCCTGCCAGCCTACCCAGCAACCAGTGATGCATTTCAAATTGGTTGGCTGGCAGCCAACAGTTGCTGGCCTTCATTGGATCAGGTAAATGAGGTAATAAGGGCTATCTATATAAGTGGACTGCCCAGGATGGGCAGCAGCCATGATGAGAACTCTCAGAGAAGCTGGACCATCTGAAACTCTCTCGAAACTCATGACCAATGAATTGCTTGCCTCCAGACGGAATCTCCACCTGCTTCTGGATGATACTTGTAAGTAAGCTACCTGAGATCTACCTAGATATATAGCTTGCAGTAACTCAAATTCACGATCAAAGGCTACCATGCCACTGTTTGCACTAAAGGTATTTCTCTGATATTGCTCTACCCTGTACCCTATTCCAAACCTACTCCTTGTAACCAATAAATTTCTCCTTTGTACCTAGCATGGGAGACTTATTGGGAGAGGGTCTAGATTATGCCTTGGGGTCCCCTTGGTTTGGCTAACTAAGGGAGACCACTATTTGTGCTTCAGACTGAGGGAAGCAACCCAAGTTCTTGCAGTGGGTCAAGTACCCTCAAGGACTACTAGGACTGTGTCTCCCAGAGGGCACAGGTCCCAGATCAGCCCAGACTCTGGGTGGTGGTGGCATTACCCCCAGGCTTGTGGGTGTGCTCCAAGAAGGGGGGCAGCTGGATGTGAGGTGCCTCCAGGGAGGCACTCGGAGCCTGGAAGATGGTCAGGCACAGTGAGGTGGGTGGCATACCACAGGAGCACCCCCCTACTGGTCCACCACACTGTACACAACAAATTACATGGGGCATGAGGTGCTGTGTTCTCCTATAGGTGTGGGTGGGATAGAGGGTGAACACTAGCACAACTCCTGTGTTTGGGGGAGTGCAGAGACTGCCATCTCTAGCCATCTCCATGGACCAAAACTTCCCCATAGGAGAAAAAGACTTTGTGGTCCCAACCCTTTCCAACACAAGAAAACTGAAGGCAGAGGTGGTAAAGGGGGATGGGTGCAGCATCTCAAGGGTGAGTGCAAGATGCACATCCCTACTGTGTGCCAGGGAGCTCTGGGAAGGGTGCACCTTAAGATGCAGAGAGCTTCCCAAAGCTCCTCCAGACAGCATAATGCTGAGCATACCCAGAACTCCCTTGGGGAATATGGTACTGACTCACCCTAGAGATCCCCAGGGCATCAGGCACTGCACCACCTTGGTCTGCTCAGGACAGCAGGGCACTATACTAACCAGACAAAATTTGCTAGGGGCACAGCACCATGGCACTCCAGAGCTGCTTAGGGCTTCAAGACTTTGCACCAGCTCTGGCTTTAAAGAAGTGAGCCAAGCTAGAAGTAGTTCAGTGGAGAAGCTTGGATAGTGAGACCTATGCAGTTGGAAAACTAAGTACATTTAGTGTGGAATATACAAGGTACTAAGGAATACGCAAGGTACCAAGACAGCTGTGTATTGATACAAAAGAGAATGGGAAACAATTGACCTACTCAGTCAGGACTAGAGTTAAGCATGATAAAATATGGTTACACACAAGGGAACCCTTGGTACCTATCAGAACAGTTACACAGTGGTGCACATTGCCAGGCGTTGTTGTCATATCTCCAGCAGCTGCCAGTAGCCAAAGCTCTGGAAAGCATGGAAAGTGTCCTTTCTGACCCATATAACTAAGGTGACCATACATCCTAGTTTGGCCAGGGTAGTCCCGGATTTCATAGGCCATCCTGATGTCCTGGCCAGCGGTGAAAATTGAAGGAAAAGTCCTGGATTGGTGGTGCCATCCCACCCACATGTGCCTAGCCTGGCTCCTCCTGAGCAGCGGCTGGAGGCTGGGTGGAGGGGGCTGGGCTGAGAACTTCTGCTCCTGCCTGGGGCAGGGCTCAGCCAGGGCACAGCTGGCTGGGGAAGGGGGTGAGGGCTAGGGCTTGGGTACCTGCACAAAGTGAGCAGGGATGGCTGCCAGATCTGGCCTGTGGGAGGATGTTATCTGGCCTGTGGGGCTCCCCACAGGACAGAGAATTTGGTGGCAGGGATGTGGTTGCAGCTAACTGCCACTCCTCTGCTGGCAAATTTCCAGATGTGAGGAGCCTCATGGGCTAGACAGCATGGGCCTGTGCTCTAGATTAAGTGTGTAGGGAAGACTGGATTGGTGTGAGACTGAGTGAAGAGGCAAGGGCCAGCAGGGACCCAAGTAGGATAGTGCAGGATGGCAGGGAACCAAGAGGGTTGGCAGTGGGCCCGATCCTGGGGCATAGGGGCTGATTCAACTGGTGGAAAAACCCCTCACCACTTACCTAGCCCATGCAGCCAAAATGTTGACTATCACTGTTCTGAAGAGTCAGTTAGCTGAAGTATAGTAATATGTGGCTAAAGTTTCCAAGGAATCCTCTTAATCAGGCTTTCTTCAGGGATGAGGAATTGCTGCTCCCCCTGTACTGCATGGCGAGGGGGGAATGGGCACTGTGACTTACAAGGGGCAGCATGGAATGTGCCTACCTGGCAGGCACGACTCAGCCATCAGGGTGTAAGGGACACCGCCGGGGTTGTCTTCAGGGTCTTTGTCAGTGATGTCAATTGCCAGGAATTCCTCACACTTTCCCACTGGCTCTGCTAAGCAATCCACTGTGATGACCTGCTGGCCTCCTGAAGCAATAGATCCAAATCCAGGGTATACTGTGAACATACCTAAGGTCAAACGAGCCTGTGGAGAGAGTCCAGGGAAATGCAACCCTCAGACTGCCTGTCTTTCAACAGTCCCAGGAGATAAGTTCACTTCCTTGCTCCATAAAAGTTTACCTAACCACATTCCCTGGAGCTTCTAGCCGCAGAATGACCTCTCAGCAGCTTTAACAGCTTTCTGAAGAGGAAGCTTGAAGAGCTGGCCTGTTTGCCTAATGGTTGTGTAAAGAACTGGGTTCAAGATCCCTTGTACCAGAGGTGGTGCTGGAAGCATGACTGCTGGTAAATCAAGAAGAGCTGTAGAGAAAGCTGTAACTAAATTCTGTCGGCCAGAGGAAGGGAGATTTGAGCATAGAAGGAAAAGAAAACAGAAGGGATTCTTTGTCTTTCAATGTGGAGCTGGAGGGCAGACCAGAAAAAGAAAAAAAAACTTGGTGGAAAAGAGAAAGTGAAGACAATGGAAAAGGAAAATGCAGGATAAGGAAAAGCTTGAGAGAGTGTGAGAGAAATTACCCAAAGAGAATGCTTGGGGTGACAGACAGACAGTGCTCACGGCAGAGTCAGGCAACAGTGGCTTCCCCAGTCCAGCCACCAGACCAGGGTCACTTGCAAAGGAGTAAAAGGACTCATAATGGACCAAGGCCTCAGCAGAGTGATTGTGACAATGGGGTGCATGCACCAACCTGCACAAGAAGGTTGATGTCCTTCTGCAGAGATTCAGTACGCTTGCTCTGTTTACCAGCAAGAAAGATTTTGCCTGCTGTGTCACTCTCACGGGAACGGGAGTGCTTGAGATGAGATGTTCTGTAAGAGGAAGCAGAAATACATCGTGCTGCAGGCTCTGTGGCAATAAGGTGGCACCAGCCCACGAGGCCAAAGAGTGAGGCCTGAAATTCCTGTTTTGGGAAGGGTGTGCATGTGATGGGCTTGGAATATGCTGCACAGAGAGACCAATCAGCCATAGCCATGGATGAAGAGTCATCAGGAGGGAAGGAGAATTTAAAAACAGAGCCTTGAGAGTAACAAAGGCCCTGGGTCCTCCTCCTCCTCCCTGAGGGGTCCCCGTCCCTGTACCCCTAGAGGGGTCCCTGAGACCACCATGGACAAAGGACACACCACTAGCCCGTCTCACCCACCCCACTGGGGGGAGGGGGTGGCTTCAGCATCCCACCTCCGAGCTGCTGACATCGGACACCTAAGAGAGTGCCTTCAGAGTGAAGCTTGGCCTAACATTTCTTGACTCCGATGACAGCCCTAGGATTGGTAGCTATAGAATTGCTTGATTGTTTGTATTGTTTCTTTTCTGTTATCACTGTGTCTCAATAAATTTGCCTATTATTGTATAGAAAGGTCATAGTCAGACTGAAGGTGGGTCATTCTATTCCCACTGGGAACAAGGGTGGGTCCCCACCCCCAGAACAAGGCATCTGGGTCCTAAATCCAGAGCCAACACATTGGATTATGCTACCTCCCACCAATGCAGAGTGCTTACTCTTACCCTTTTCTTGGCAGGATGGGCACATCTCTCATTAGTTTTAAGATGACAAATTTAAAGTCAAGGGCTCCCTTGTTCTCCAGCACGAAGGTGCAGGTCTTGCGTGTGCCATTCATCATGGAGCCAAAATTGATGAATGAGGCAGGGGAGATGCTGTACTTGCTGAACAAAGAACTGACTGACACGCGGATGGGAATGCTGGCGATGGTCTCTCCCCCTTCACAGACATTGGGCTCAATAACCTAGGTAGAGGAGGACAGTTGGCAACTGGACTGAAGGAAACTTCCTTGTCTCAGTCCTGTAAGTCCACACACTTGCTGCAGCTATGAAATGCTTTGCTAAGCATTCACCATAAATTCCATATTGACTTGAGAACCTCATCATCCTTACAATTTATTGGTTAGACTGACCCAGTAGGAGCATTTGGGGAAGTTCCTCCTACCCTACATCATTTCCTGTAGTGGAGTGACTGAATGAACACTTTTACAGCCAGCAGTTCCAAGCCATTCTCCTACCCAGACATCCCTGTGAATTTCACTGGGCCAGTGCTATTCCTTCCAGTGTCCCTGCTAGAAACTACTTAAAGTGAAATCTTCTACAGCAGAGATGGAACAAGCTCCTGCAGCACCCTGGGCACAGTACTAACCACTGCAAAGAGACAAAGAGTCTTTCCTTCCCTGCCTCTCTCTGCACTCTGGTAGGAGCTCCTGTGGCTGCAGCAGCATGTACTCATACTGCTGCAGCTCAGAAACAGGCTCAGCAGGGGACACCAGAATGCCCCCAGCCCCAGAAATCTTTGCTATAGCAGGCACTGCCCTGCCATAGAAGCTGGATAGCCCTGTGCTCTGTAGTGTATGGGGGGAGGGGTTGAGCTGAATGGTGCCCCTCCCCCAGATTTTTGCCATGGGAGGCACAGCTCTGTGGCTGGTAGGGTATCTGAGGGAGGGAGGGTGAACAGGGCACCAGGGACAGACCCCAGGGAGTCCAGGCCACAGGGTGAGCCTGCCTCTCAGCTGCAGCAGCCTTCCTGAAGGTCCATATATTACAGAGTGCTGGGCTGCCTGGCTTCTACGGCTGGGCAGCATTGGGCTGTGCCTGCCATAGCAAAGGTTTCTGGGGAGGGAGAGGGTGATTCTGGTGTCCCCTCTAAGACAATGCACAGGGCAGGTGCATGTCTCATCCCACCCTAGTTACACTATTGTTCTACAGCCAGTCCACTCCTACATTTTTCTTTCTATAGAGAATACTTGGCTAGGAAGGACTAAAACTGGAGCAGCTATAAGCCACTGCAAGGTCAAGCTCCTCAACCCAGTCTATGTAATTTAGGAGAGGGTAGTGTTGGCTCTTTAAACTGATCTACTCCAAAGCTAGAACTGTCTGTTTGCCTCTACTCACGAAGCATCAGGAATACAGAGGGGCTTGTAAAAATACATGGATGGTAACCTTGAATCCCCGAGCTAAGCTGTCTGTCTACACCTTTGTATAACTAGCACTGTACAGACCACAGGTATCATCCCAGCAGCATAAGGCACAATCTTTTAGCCACCAGGGCTCAGCTCGTGTCATTTCTCTTCAGACCTCTTACCTGGCAGTGCAAGATTGGCTTGTCCTCAATCTTTACTTCCTTCCTGGAGTGAAAGGTGAGCTGGACCTGAGTGGGACGGTCAACAGCAGCAAGCGTCCCTTTTTGGGGCTGGATAGTGAAGAGAGACTTCAAATTTGTTAGGTTGGCTTCACTGGATTGTAGTATGAAACTGAAAGGTGGAGACAAAACAAAGATGCTGTGAGCTGACCTGTTCAGTTACAGAACCAGAAGCAGCAACATTGCCAGGAACCAAAATTAACATCTAAGCATCAGACCCATTTGGACTGTGAAAAGGGTCATTAAGGTACCATTCAACCTTGCTCAAGAAATTCTAGACTAGACTTAAAACAATTAGGTTGATTGGCTTCTGGAGCCAAATTTTCAAAAGGTCCTGATTTTTTTCCAGCCAGATGTTTGTAAGTGTAACCCACATTTGTAAATTTTCAGAGCTGCTGGGAACAGGAATTGACAATGTTTTGCAAAATGGAGGTGCTTTAAAAAAAAAATTGTGTAATCCAAAAATAAATGATAGTTACAGGGGACTGGTTTATGCATTGTTGTGTCTCTACTACTACTATCCTGCTGTACAGTGCAGAGTTGTTGGTGTATAGCAGGATTTTGCATCAGATATTTGAGTGAAGATCTCTGATCTGTGTTGCTTACCTTCTGTGTTCTCTAGCTATTCCAGGAAGAGATTCTATCCATGAGAATACAGATGGAAACAAGGGCTTGGGAGCAGGGGCAGGAAACACACCCTCGCAACCAAAATGACCAGTAGCTTACCTGTACCCAATCTCATATTTTCCTTTGTTCTTCAGGGACAGCTGTTGCCTACCTTCATCGAGGACTCTCATGACCCCAAAATCCAAACCACCATCTGTCCCTATAGAAATAACCACAAGTGGCAGGAGAGAGGAAGTGGAGATTCAGAGTCTGAATTAAAACCAAACATATCCTAACTACAAGATCAGCAATTGAAGCTCCAGAATGGTCCTTCATAGACAGTCTCCATTCTCAAGAGTTGTCCTGGAGGCTTTATGTCCTTGCTCCTTCCTAGGGAGTTCAGTTTTTACTTCCTCGTTTACAAGTCTGTGTCTCTCTCCATTATCTGCACAGTGCTGATCTCTCAACATTTTCTAGTCACTTTGTTAGATCATTAGCAAGTTAGGGTGCTTAATACTATTAGCATGCTCTCATTTTTTTTTAAGGACCACATGTAGGTAAATAAACTAAGTTATCTAAAGCTATATTGGATATCAAAGCACTCAATGAAGTCAAGCACTTAGAAGTTAGGAGATGCCAGAATGAAGGCTGCCTGTGAAACCTTGGTCATGCTCTGAGTATACATTATAATGGTCTATAATTGCATACTCCTTTCCTACTGAGTTCTGTCTCAACCACTCACCCACCTGGCCTACCTGCTTATTGATGAAAACTTCAATTATTCTTAACAACATGCCCCAGATTAGATTCAGCTTGTGGGGGAAAGACTGACCTTTGGGGAAACTGATGTCCAGGGCAACATCATAGGCTTCAGCATGGACTTGGATGTTTTCAATCTGAACAATTCCTAGGATGTTTTCTGCATCTGAAACCTGAAAACCAGCCAGCACTTAGAGCATCCTTCTGACATCACACAAGGTTTTGCCACTGCCAGCCATACCTCTCTGACTCCATCCCTAGTGCCTTCAGCCATTCAGCTTCAAGAATTTATCTATCCAGCTCATCTCATGGGATGATACAATAGGATTTTACTTCTCTATGGGTGCATCTAGATGGGACATTTACTGTGGAGTCGACTAATTAGCTCTGCAGTAAATGTCTTGTGTCTACATGTGCAGAGCTATTAGGTAATTCTCCATCCTTCTTGCATGGAAAAACCCATTGTCAGTTATGCTGACTGGAGTAAGAACAATATCACCAGTATTATAAAGAGCTGTGGAGTGGTGAATGGCACTAATAAACCTCAGCTTAGTTTGCCAAATAGCATTTCTGAAACGTAGCCTTGCAGCATGTGGTGATTGGGAAGGAACTCCTGGAATGTCAGCTTTTCAGCAATTTGCTGCTGTTTAAGTGCTATGTTGCTGCGCTTAGATTGGGATGGGCCAGGGGCCACTGGGGAATTCTAATATATGTCATGTTATCTCAGGTGGGATTGGCTGGGACCAGATGGGGCATGTCTTGTCAGAGATGGCAGCACCTAAATAAGCCCTATGAACAAGCCAACCTGCCTTGAAGATTTGTGTCTGTTCTTACATGACTTTGGGTGTGTCTACATGTGCGCTCCACTATGCAGGTGTTATTGTGCAGTCATTTGGTACTTGCTCTAGCAAATACCAAATGACTGTGCAGTAACCATTACTGAGCAGTCCCAGCAGTGCACAGGTAGCTTCCAATCCTACTCTGCAGCTTGTTGGTACTGTGCAGTGCGCCATTGGCATCACAGTATGTGCCCACTGATGCTGTGTCACTGTAGTGACAAGCTATGTTGTGTCTTGTGTAGATGTGCCCTCTATGACCTGGACAATAGCCCTAGCCAACTGGTGGAGACAGGGATATCTTGATTTTGGGTGGGATCTTGGGTGTCCTAGGGACCGAGATTAACTCTGAGTCCAGGTTCTGGGTTGGCAGGGCTAACATGCAGTGTTTTTGTGAGACTCAGATGCTGAGAGGTACGCTGGATTATTTTTTATTCAAACAGATGCATTGGATGGAGGGGTAAGAAAGTCCACGTCCAATTGCTGCTGTGTCCAGCTTCCCTTCTCTATCTAATCCACAAGTGCTTCAGATACAATAAGAATACCTTACTGGTTGCCAGAATATTAATAAAATGTGGCCTTATGTGAAAGGCAACACTCCAAGCCAGTGATGGAGTAGTGTGATTCCACAGTGATGCTGCAGACAGCAAGCTGTGTCATTCAAAATATTTTGTTACTACTTTACCCACCCACTCCACTTGCCATGTGTAGTAACCCTCAAGTACCAAGCTCAGCACCAATATATTGATGCCTATCAAGAGTTGAAAGACAGCTTTGATGTTACTGAGAGGGGATGGGTTTGCCTCACCTCCAGTCGGATGGTCTTCTTAATGTTAAGAGCTTTTGTGGCCCTAAAATTCAGCTGCAGGGCAAACTCCAAGTGGGGATCAATGATGCCCTGATCTTGTGGCACAGAGAAATCATCCCCCAGGTTCTCCAGGCCACTGATTCGCCAGGCTACAGGTAGAGGGGTGCTGTTCTTCAGAAAAAGTGCCTTGCTGTCTTTCCTGTGGAGACAGAAGGATGCTCAGAACTGGCTGAAAAAATTGTTTAAAGTTATTTCTGGTTCCATCACCTTTCCCTGCTCCTTGCCAGCTCTCCAGTCCTATACAGGAAAGGAGGTATAGAGATCACAGAATCATAGAAGTAGGGTCAGAAGGGACCTTGTAGATCTTCAAGTCTGACCCCCTGCCTGGGCAGGAGAAAAACTGGGCTCAAATATATTCTAAAAAGCAGCAGGGCTTGGGGTTTCTGATTTAGACCACTGGTTAAGAGCAAGTGTATCACAGGTTTCCTTCAGGATTTCAGTTATCAGTGATGGGGAGGACCAGGTTTCACTAGGGAGATGTGGGAGGTGTGAGCATGTGGACATGAGGTGTGAGTGAGTGGTTCCTTTTCCATATGTTATTGTTACTCTACATCATGTCACTGTGACATTGAACCACCTTTGCAAGTGCAATTTGGAGTCTGATGCTTAAAAGGACTTGTATAAATATAATAACACAATGGCCTGAGGAGACGTTGCATGCAAAGCTGCGTGCAATAAGGCCAGATGCTCCAATAGTGACTTGTGAGCATGACGGCAGTGCTGCCCCTGGTAGACACTCAAAACAGGTGCAAAGGAGAAAGGAAAGTAGGCCTAGATTCTCACCCTCTTCTCTTTTACATGCTGTGAACCTAGACGCAACCTCAGAGCGGCCTGTGGGGGGGGGGAGGTGCAGGGTGCGACTGAGTACTGTTCTATGGAAATCTGGACAAGCATAGATGAAGCCTGTCACTGGAGAGAGGCTGCTCCTAGGATGTGGGCCTTGTGGGAGGGGGGATGTTAAAGGATGACATTCTGGCAGGAGATCTGAAATCTCATTGGAAAGCAAAGGGCTAGAACACACTGACCACTGGAAGAAACAGCACCCACTAGCAAAGCCTTGAGAGCTTCTTCATGGAGCACACTGGAGCAGCCAGAGCACAGACTGGCTGGAAGTTGCAATAACACCAGCTGCTTGGCATCCAGCCCAAAGAAGTCAGTGAAGTTGGAGGTCCGCATTGCTCATGCTAGGCTCTCATTGCTGGGCAGTGAGTAATGGATGTTGGGGTGTTATGAAGAGCTACTGGAGTGATCACCTCAGCCCTCATCCTGAACAGCCCCAGAGAGGATGAGAGAAAGTGGACACAAATTGTAAGCCCTTGAATCAAATGAGAAACAGCGAAGTAAGAACTGGCCCAGCTGGCAAGGTCTGGTTTAGCTGGAGGCTGGGCAGCCCTTGGGGATCCCAACCTGTGCAGGAGTAGCTTTTCAAAATGCAGCTGCTTGCGGTCAAGCTCCAATTCTGGACGCACTCCTTGGCAGCAGATACTGAAAACCACTGGCTCTGGATTCTCTTTAATGCAGCAGACAATGCTGTCTTCGAATATGCCAGCAGAAGTAGGGTATGCCCATATGCTCAGCTCCTGGCACAGCACCACAAAGAGAAGCACAAAGCAGAGCATTTATTTGGAGAGAAAAATGACTCCTGAATAGGGATCAATCTGAGAGTGGTACCTGGTTGTCACCTACCTGCTTTTCATTGGGTTTCAGTGTCATGGTGGGTGGGTCCAAGAGGTACGTGTTTGCCTTGAAATCATGCTGGAAGCAGAAGTGAACCTCTGCTTCCAAAGGGGATATGTTGAGGATGGTTATTTTCTCAAAGTTACTGGGATATCGGAGAGCCTTGTACCTGCAAACAGAACAGGGAACAGGCTGTAAAGGAAGCAAAGAAAATGCTTCACCTTCATTCTCTCACGTTTGTGAACAGCAGGACAGCCTTAGACAGCCCCATCATGATCACCATCAATATAAGAAGCATTATAACAATAAGAGTTTCTTACATGTCACTGAGTAGCCTCTGCATATTCCCACTTCTTGGATTAAGATGTCTGGGCCACTGAGAAGACACTGGATCCCAGAAGTGGGAATATGCAGAGGCCCCTCAAAGAAGAAAAGGATGTGTCATTTTAAAGATGACCTGAAATGAAAAAAAGTAAGTTGGGCTTGGACTCTTTTCCTTTTTTTTCTTTATGAGAAACACAGCCTGATGGGCTTTTCCAAGAGGTTGTTTTTGTGTCTGGTTTTCATCTTTGAAGCATCAAGAAATTCTCTTGTGTTCTCTGTCTTTGCTGGACATCTCAGGTGTGGTTTCACATGGAAACTGAAACGGTTGAGGGGAGTCTGAATCTTTGACTAAGACAGACTTTCTCCAAAATGAAAAACAGACTTTGCAGTTAAAAGGTTAAAGGAACAAATGAAAAATGAAGTGTTATACAGTTTGGCTAAAAAAACCCTTCTTTCCTACTCAGATTCCATTGTTTCATGATGTTAAAAAACCACAGTTCTCCAATCATCCATAGAATTCCAAAAGGAAAATAACTTCATTTCTAACATTTGAAAAAGCTGATATTAAACCAAAAATGTTGCAGCAGCAGCAATGAACAGACAGCTTTTAGGCCTTTTTCAGCTATCAAAAAGTAACAGAACCTCTCCCTAGATGCTACCACCCCTCCCTCACCACTTAAAACCCACAGTTTATTCTTTTGCCAACCATTTTTTAAAAGCCTACATACATACTGTGGCCAAATCCTGAAGATCTTACCAATATTTATCAGTAATTTAATATATATTATAAACCATTGTGACAATGCCTCAATTGTCTCTAGTTCTTTTCATTGGAACTCAAAGTGCTTTAAAACATGGGTCAGCATCTTCGATCTCATTCATTTTATACAGAGAAAAAACTGAGGCTCAGGGAAGTGAAGTAACTTGTCAAGCAGACCAGTGGCAAAGCTGAAAGCAGAACCCAGATCTTCTGTGTTTCAGCTTATGGCTCTATCCTCTGGACACCACTATTCCCCACAGAGTCTCAATGGAGTCTACAGATGATTTGCCCAAGCAGGAACTGATAAGGGTTGGCATACTGAATACCACTTTTCCTTAATCCCAGAAAAATATCTGTATTAGGCCTGTGCAAAGTGGCAAGTATCCGATTCGGATTCAGATTTGGCCCATTCGGAGGGATAGTTCACTGTCCCGATTCGATTCAGCCGATTCAGATCTGAAGATTCGGTGCCGATTTGGAGATTCAGCCATAGAACAAACAGGCAGAAGTCCTTGAGGATGCTGGACGCAGCTGCCTCCAGCTGGTAAGCCTGTTGTGGTGGGCGGAGGGGGGAGGGAAGGGGCATGGGTGGGGCGCAGATCAATGCCCCCACAGCGAGGGAGGGATTAGGGCTGGGGCTTGGACAAGTGGCCAGCCAGGGTGGGGAGGTGCAGGACTTGGGAGGGGCCTCCCACCACTGCATGCTGCTGCATGCTGCTGGTCCAGGAGGGCACGGGAGCGGGCATGTGCCCCTGGATTTGCACGGGGCAGGCTGGGCTGGGCTGCACTCTGGACAGGCAGTGGAAGGTGCTGGGAGTGGGGGCTATACCCTCCCACTGCTTGCCCAGCTTCCTCACCCCTCCCGGACAAGCCACAGCTTCACCCCGTCACGCCCTGGTTGGGCGAGCAGCAGCAGGGCATGGGGGCAGGGGCATGCACCTGGACTGGGGAGAGGCCGGTGGCAAGTACCATGAGGAATTTTAGGGTGGGTGCAGCCCTCCCATGGGCCCCACTCCACTGTGCTCTGCAGGGTGGGCGGAGCCAGGGCTGTGCTCTGGGCTGCGGCTGGGGCTAGCCACCAGGAGCACAGCCCTGGCTGCACCCTCCCCGCAGAGCACAGCCTGGCAGTCGGTGGCTGGGGCTAGCCTCCCCACCCAGTGCTGCCCAGCCCAGCCTGCCCTGTGCAGATCCAGGGGCACATGCTTGCTCCCATGCCCTCCTAGACTGGTGGCGCGCAGTGGCAGGAGCATCCCCTCCCTGAGTCCAGCGCCCCCACTGCCCCAGCTGGGCAGCTTGTCCCTGCCCCAGCCTCAATCCCTCCCTCACTGTGGGGGTGTTTGTTCCCCTCGCAACCACAACAGGCTTACCAGCCGAAGGCAGCTGTGTCCAGCATTCTCAACGACTGCTGCTTGTTTAGTCTAAGCCCAAATCTCCAAATTGGTGCTGAATCTCTCCAAATTGATTTGCAGGCATCCAATTTGATTCGGAGTTTTTAATGGGTCTCCCAATCTGAGTTGGATTTGGAGATTTGGTCGTCAAATCGGGCCGAACCTCCAGTAAATCAAATCGGCTACCAAAGCTTTACACAGCCCTAATCTGTATGCCTAAGTGAGTACCGTATCTACGTGAGCTCATTTCTGTCATCCTTCTCCTCCTTCTTGCTGTCCCTATTCCTTTTATCTCTCTGAAACCTGCTTGCCTCTGTGTTCATAGGCAGCATCCCTGATAGTTTATATGTTATTGTCATCACACACTGGACACGCTCCATGCTGGGAGACTAACATCGTTGCTGTCTGCCTGTCAGAGAGAAACACATACCGGTCTCTTGACTTTCCGCAGAGCAGTGGGCCAAAATGGAATACCCCTGTGCTCGTGACATACTGTTTGAAGATGATGTCATCAGGTTTCACACACTTCTTCCGGTGGGGAAATACCACCCTGGAAGAGAAAAGTAGATGAGTGAGGAGCTGTGGAGTCCAACAAGCCTGGAACTAGAGCTCCTTTGAACAACTCTGAGAGAATATTTTCTTTTTATTGAAATTTGCTGAATTATCAGAATTAAACTGTTGCATAGAGATGGATCAACTGTGAGGAAGTTCTGCCAGAAGGTGGACAAGGCCCAAAAGAACCGGCCCAGCTTTTGCTACTTGGCTCCTCAGCAATCCAGCTGTTAGGGAGGCAAGGGTCTGAAAGCCCTGGGAGCTCCAGCAGCTCCTCAGCAGCCCAGGCTGCCAGGGCACCCAGGATGGCTGGCTCTAGGGCCTTTCATAGATAATTTTACATATCAAACCACTCCACAAGATGGAATTGCCTTGTCTGCCCAGCGGTCCTTGTAAGAGTCAGCAATCTGTGAAAAGTTCAATCAAAGCAATGCTCTTCACAGAGGATGATACCTACTGCCTTCCTCCACTCTATTTGCCCTCTGTCTCACTGAGAGACATTTCACCTCTCTTAATACACATCCCTCTCCCCAAAATGTTTATGAACTGGCATTGTCCTGGAGCATATGGCCATGGAGCACATCTGTCCTGTAAAAAAGGACCACTCAGTCTTCCATGCAAGGTCCATCTTTTTCCACACAGTAATACTCTCATGTCTGTTCTCTGCTCTCCAGCCTGTGCATTTATTATTCAGCATATGATTTGAAAATGCATTAGTCAGATATGATGCATTAAATGGTGTAGGCCAGACCTCTTTATGCCCATCTAAACTGGTTAAACTATGGTGGCTCCTGAATCTGATCAATACAAGGCTAAACTATGCAACATAAGGAGAAGCTAGAAAGGAAAGGAAGGGGGCAGACACCAGCTTTGGACTTGAGTGCTATGAGTTCAACCTCCTGCTCTGCTACAGACTGGCAGTGTGCCCTAGGGCAGGTCATTTTATCTCGTGCCTCAGCTCCCAACCTCTACAAAGGAGTAACAGCACTGCCCTGCCTCATTTTGAAGCTCAGATCCTGGGACCATGTAAGTAGTTAAATGGGTTTTCCTGACTTCAGATTATCCAAGGCTTCGACTCAGTAATGGAGATTGGCTACAATTAGCTCACCAAAGCTACAATTTTTAACCTTGTTGGATACACCTCAGTCACACTCAGATTCCTTTCACCCTATGTAAATCCACCCACTGGGTGTGTCTAGATGAGATGCTTAATTGCACAGTAGCAGTTTACTATGCAGTAAGTGCATACATCTATATGTGTGCATCCTTACTGCACAGTAAAACCACTAATTTATGCATGATTAGTTACTGCACGGTAACGCACCTGTAGACATGACCTGGGAGCAAATTTGCTTCCAGGTCAGCCTTGCCACTAGGGGGCCGGCCTCAGCCTAGCCCCAGGGCTCTAGGCTGGGAACCTGTCCTGCCCAAGGGCTGGGCTACCTCTATGGCAGTTTCTGCCTTAGGCCTTTAAAAGCCTACAGGCATTTTGAGCGCTAGGGCACACCAGCAGGGAGCCTGAGGCCATTCCAGGCCCTTATGTCCCTCTGGGCAAGCTGTAGGCCAGCTGTCCCAGCCTGCCTGCACCCCGGTGCTGCTGCCTGGCATTACAGTGCCGCATGCCTGCCAGGCCCATGCTGTCCAGGCCTGCAAGTTGCTTCAGGCTCTAGCCAGGCCTGCCAGCCCTCAGGCCCAGCTGCAGGCAGCTTCTGGCTGCTGGGGCCAACTCCACCTACCTGCAGCCCACCCCCAGCAGCCTGCTCCAAGCCTGCAGGTGCTGCAGGGCATTGCCTTAGCTGCATGATTGTCACTCCCATGTTAGGCCCCTGCGCTGGGCACTGCAGGCAGCTGGCCAGGCCCCAAAGCACAAGGACAGCTGTGCGGAGGCCCAGAGAGCTGGAGTGGGACTGACCCATAATGGCCTCATCATTGCTGCTGCCCATACTCATGTCTGCCACCCGGGACCCCAACTGGTCATAGGAGGAGACTGGCAACCTCATGGCGCTGTGGGATGAGGCAGAGGTGCAGTGCCAGTTCGAGCTGGGTGGGCACTCCAATGTCCACGTCTATGAGGGGCCATCAGGCCGGATGTGGAAGCATGCACACAACTGGTTGGCGCAGTCATGCCACTTAAAGATCAAGGCCTTGCGGGCACAGTGGGTTGCCATCACTGACCACAATTGTTGGTCGGGGAGTGTCCGCAAGTCCATGCCATTTATGCAGCAACTGATGGACATCCTTATGCCCCAGGACCCAGGCTGCAGCCGTGCTATCTACAGCAGCACGGGCAACGTGCCCAAGCCCCTGACCTGGTCTCCCCGCCTGCACTCCTCTGGCCCCAGTAGGTGGGGTCTACCTCCAGGGCGGCCTTCTCAGTGGTGGATTTGTCCACACTAAACAGGTGGCTGATGTACCGCAGGGTGGCGGGCGTAGACAGTTTGAGCAGGGCAAGGGCCAGCTGGGGTCTGTGGGGAGGGGAAGCTTGGGTGTCCTCCCGCTCCAAGTGGCCTGGGTCATCCTGAATGCCTCCAGCCACTGCTCATTATCTCAGGTGTGGTGGACGATGTGCCGTCATCAGTTCTGGCTGGCCTGGAAGGCCCAGAGGTGGTGCAGCTGGAGGCCCAGGAGGGTGAGGGTAGCCCTGGCAGTGGCATCCTGGTGCCTGTCATTGGCGTCCCTGCTGGGGTCTGGCTAGGCAGACAAGGTTGATGCGGTAGGTACGCGGTGGCAGCCCTGGGACAATACATGGTGGGTGGGCAGCAGGGAAGTGGCTGGCCAGAAAGCAGCAAGGGGGCTGCCTTTTCAAGAGGCTGCCACCAGGGGGAGCTGGGAGCTCCGCCTGGTGGCAGCAGGGACCCACTGCAGGGCCCTGGGAAGCAGGAACAGATTAGGTGCCAATCTGATGTTCTAGTAGGTTAGCACCCAGGAGCAGGGACATGATTTAGGATGAAGGCAGAGCTTCCATTTAACTATTCCTGGTACATTACTTTTTATCCTTTTGTTTTTTTGTCTGCTGACTGATATGTGAACTGCAGTAATTTAACCCCCCTAAATGCCCTTAGAGTTCTGTCCAAGGGTTGTATATGCAATACATGTTGGTACATGGGTCTGTGTCTAGAAGGGCTCAGAGCAAGTGTGATGTGTGTGGGGGGAAGCTGTAATGTGCTGTCTAGTTTAGCAGTCCAGATTTCATTTTATCTTCCAGAGAATCTGTTAAGGAAACCATCATAGAAATTTTACTGTGAGCATGTAGGTACTTACCTGGGGTCCTGGCTGATGGTAGGATAAGTGCATATACCCCTGAGGTAAATCTGATACTGACGGCATGTGCCCAAGATCTCAAAGTTCAAGGTCTGATCAAATTGCCCTGGGACAATGGAGGAAAAATGTATCTTCAGGGTCACTTCTCCATGAGCAGGTACTACCCAGCGGAAGCTGCTCAACCTGGTGGTTACAGAAGAAGCTTCTGACATTTCATAGGGTTAAGACACCAAGAAAGACAGGGTAACTCATGAAACCTAACACAACAGGTATCACAGCCAGCTACGCTTAGGGACCAAGGCCTGACACTTGAGAAGGACATCCCCACTCAAGCACCTGAAGACCATGCAATATCTGTGTAGCAGATTCCTGCTATGTGATGTACTCCCTTGAAGCCGACCAAGAAATGACCACTGGAAAGCACAGCTGCTCCCTTCCTCAGTGGTATTAGCCGCAAGGAATATATCACACCAGTTCTAAAACAATTGCTCACTGTTTGCTTTTGGGTGCAACTCAACGTGTTTGCTTTGGGTATGAGACCCTCTCTATATCCCTGTGCTGGAGCACACTAGGCTGTATCACTTGGTAGCTCACCTGAGGAACTTTTCCTGGGACTGTCCCCCACTCATGGTGCTTTGGTTTAGGTCAGTCAGAGGTGTCAGTGGTCCGGGGGCTGTTCCTGGAAGGCCCTTCCTGCTGCGACCTGTGCTGCGCTTATCCTTTTGAGCCTCACGACTGGGCTCTGCTTTGTCCTTCTTCTGTCGGCCTTTGGTTGGAGTGGCCTGTTCCTCCTGTAGCCCAGTTCAATGGAGGAAGTGACAGTAAGAAGTGACTCAGGGGACTCCAAAACACAAGCAGCATAATACATTACTGAGCCCTCATAGTACATGGCCAAGCATAACAGCACTGATGGATAAGGAAAGCCTAGAGCAGATTCAGAACCCTCACTAGCCCACAGTCATGATTAAACAGTAGGAGTTGCTGCACAGGGTCATCCCTGAGATAAGGCCTTGCCCTTAGTAGCCAGTGAAACAGATAACAAGTAACGAGTGCCCATTCCACATCAGAATAATGGCTTCTCCGTGCCACTTAGGTTAAAGCCTTTATTGCTTGGTGGGTTTTTGTTTTTGTTTTTTTTAATTTT